GTATTTAGCTATCCAATCATGGAACACACACGTATTTAGCTATCCAATCATGGAACATACATGTATTTAGCTATCAAATCAAGGAACATACATGTATTCAGCAATCCAATCATGGAACACACACGTATTTAGCTATCCAATCATGGAACATACAAGTATTTAGCTATCAAATCAAGGAACATACATCTATTCAGCAATCCAATCATGGAACACACACGTATTTAGCTATCCAATCATGGAACATACATGTATTTAGCTACCCAATCATGGAACATACATGTATTTAGCTATCCAATCACGGAACACACACGTATTTAGCTATCCAATCATGGAACATACACGTATATAGCTACCCAATCATGGAACATACATGTATTTAGCTCCCCAATCATGGAACATACATGTATTTAGCTTCCCAATCATGGAACATACATGTATTTAGCTACCCAATCATAGAACATACACGTATTTAGCTACCCAATCATGGAACATAAATGTATTTAGCTATCCAATCACGGAACATACACGTATTTAGCTATCCAATCATGAAACATACATGTATTTAGCTATCCAATCAAGGAACATACACGTATTTAGCTATCCAATCATGTAACACACACGTATTTAGCTATCCAATCATGGAACGTACACGTATAAAGCTACCCAATCATGGAACATACACGTATTTAGCTACCCAATCATGGAACATACATGTATTTGGCTATCCAATCATGGAACATACACGTATAAAGCTACCCAATCATGGAACATACACGTATTTAGCTATCCAATCATGAAACATACATGTATTTAGCTATCCAATCAAGGAACATACTCGTATTTAGCTATCCAATCATGGAACATACACGCAATCATGGAACACACATGTATTTAGCTACCCAATCATGGAACACACACGTATTTAGCTATCCAATCATGGAACATACACGTATTCAGCTATCCAAACAAGGAACATACATGTATTTAGCTACCCAATCATGGAACATACACGTATTTAGCTATCCAATCATGGAACACACCCGTATTTAGCTATCCAATCATGGAACATACACGTATTCAGCTATCCAATCATGGAACATACACGTATAAAGCTACCCAATCATGGAACACACATGTATTTAGCTACCCAATCAATGAACATACAGGTATTTAGCTATCCAATCATGGAACACACACGTATTTAGCTATCCCTATCCAATCATGGAACACACACTTATTTAGCTATCCAATCATGGCACACACACGTATTTGGCTACCCAATCATGGAACATAAATGTATTTAGCTACCCAATCAATGAACATACAGGTATTTAGCTATCCAATCATGTAACATACACGTATAAAGCTACCCAATCATGGAACACACATGTATTTAGCTACCCAATAATGAAACATACATGTATTTAGCTACCCAATAATGAAACATACATGTATTTAGCTATCCAATCATGGAACCCACACGTATTTGGCTATCCAATCATCGAACGTAAACGTATTTAGCTATCCAATTATGGTGCGTATACGTATTTAGCTATCCAATCACCCAATCATGGAACACACACGTCTTTAGCTACCCAATCATGGAAAACCCACGTATTTAGCTACCCAATAATGGAACATACATGTATTTAGCTACCTAATCATGAAACATACATGTATTTAGCTACTCAATCATGAAACATACATGTATTTAGCTATCCAATCATGGAACACACATGGAACATACATGTATTTGGCTATCCAATCATGGAACACACATGGAACATACATGTATTTGGCTATCCAATCATGGAACGTAAACGTATTTAGCTATCCAATTATGGTGCGTATACGTATTTAGCTATCCAATCAAGGAACATACATGTATTTAGCTACCCAATCATGGAACACACATGTATTTAGCTACCCAATCATGGAACGTAAACGTATTTAGCTATCCAATCATGGAGCATACACGTATTTAGCTATCCAATCATGGAACATACACGTATTTAGCTATCCAATCATGAAACATATATTACTATGCAATCAAATAACTATTAAAGAGAATTCATGTATCACTAAGCCATTTTTGAGCGATAATGATAATGAACCCCACAAAAGTTATATGGAATAAGATTTTGAGACAGTTGAAACTTTAATATTTAATTAAAGATATGTAAGAGTCAACCTTTTTAACGTGTATATAGCGACATTTATACTAATTTTGTAAACTTGAAATAAATAAAAACATACCTTCATCCAAAACATCTCGAAGTATTGTATACAAATACTATGTTATCGTCGTAAAATTGTGGTCAGCTCAGGGCTTCCACGGTTAGGCTGTACACGGTGCACCGCAGCGCTACAGCAGACAGAGTTGTCTACAATCAAGAGACGTTTGGTAAGTATTACTGTTTTGTAGAAGTTAAACGTTGATATCATGTATCGTTTTGTGGATATCATAAGTAAAGCAGATAGAAGTTAATACGGCCATTATGACTGATAATTTTCCCTCGTACCCAAATCAAACCTCAATGCATCATATTGACAAAAAAAGAGGAAACAACTTCCGGGTGTTGATCATTCGCCTGTGTAGGTATTATGTAAAACAGCCGTGTTATAGTGGCGTGTTTGAGGTAGCTAGTACCACACAGAAATTTTGTGATAAATTCATGAAAATGTTTAATCTTACCATCTTTTATTAAATTTATATTTCGAGAAAAAATGGCTGCCATGTAAGACACACACACATGTTGGTGCTCTGACAAAAAGGGATAAACTTATGCTGTTATCTACTAGCTACAGTGCTAACCTTTAGCAGAATGTGTTTAAGTATTATGCCTACATATTGACTGGAAAAATAATTGGGAAAAATATCAACTTTGACAGATTTTGATATTTACATATTTTGGACAGGGGTTGACAGAGATAAAAAAAAACATGTTGAGTTCTATATTAAACTAAGCAAGAAAGACATCAAAGACCTGGTCACAGAAATTGTTACATCTATTTTGGCTACCATAAAGAATGACATATCACGGAAAACAGCTATGATGAGACAGGAGCTTGACTCGATGAACTTGCATAATCATAGACTACAGTCAGTTCAATGTAAAGAAAAGAAAATCACAGAACTACAAAATGGGAAGGATGAGATGAAGAAGGAAATTGTAAACACACAGAGGAATGTCGCACATAACAGAGATCTGTGCATGGAGGGACTAAGAATGGCAAATTACAATGAACAATATAGTCGACGAAACAACATTAAGGTATTTGGCATGAAGGAATTGGGGGAGGAGGCAGAAAAAAGAGAGACCTACCACAGGACTTCTGTGATATTGTAAATAAAAAGGAGGGCATCAACATCAGTCCACAAGACATTTAAGCTGCACACAGAGTACCCAAAAAAGCACTGGATGGGCCGAGGCCGATTATTGTGAAATTCCTGAGGAATAATGTACGAAGACAGGTGATGATGAAGCGAAAGGAGCTTAATGTGAGGTGTACAGACGATGTGACAAGTAGGAATGTAGGAATTATGAAGAGATTAGAAAAAAACAGAGACGTAGAGAAGGCTTGGTACTTTAATGGTAGTGTTTGTCAAGGTTGGAAACCTGACAAGGAAAGTGAATCTTTTTGACAATTTTCATGAAGTGTTTGTGGACAAAACAGGAAATGGACAAAATAAAAGGTAAACATTTCATCTTATATTGCTACAGGGCAAAAGAAAAAACCCAAAACATTGATCACTGACATATATCATACTAATTTAGCATAATATTCCAGTATGTTGATTTAATTTCTTGATTGATATAATCGCTGCATTTATATGTGCTTCATAAGCAAACAAACTGCTGTGGTACAAATATAACATGTATTATGTGCATAATATAAACTTGGTCATTTTTGGATAGAGTGCTTGCATGTAGTTGTGCTTATCTGTATGTGGGTGTGTGTGTTTTTGTGAGAGAGAGTGCTCGCATACCAGTTAATGTACTTCACTATTCAACATATTTTCAAATATCTGAAATTAAAAACCCAATCTGCCATGTTAGATAATAATAATTTTTCATTAAAAATCAGCCATTAGTAAATAAGATATGGCAGTGTAGATATCTATGACGTACGCACCTGAAATATGACAAATATGAAAGAAATGCGGTGTATGGAATGAAGGGTGTGTACAAAAAAAAACATAATAATCATCAGATACACTAAGTGGTTTGGTTTGTGATTACCGAGGTATGCTGATACTCAGATTTGAGAATATAATATTATTAGTCATTGCATTTTCAACCATATTCTAATTTATTTTGAGATATCTACAATGGAGAAGTGGAATAATTTTTGTTCTTTTGTATACAGGGCTGTTCAAGTGCACACATTTGTACACATACCTATATACATGTAGTGTGTCGCGTTCTCATACTCAAATGAAAAACTCAAAGCCTTTGCTTCATGTCTGGTTTTAATCAGCCATCATAGTTCACTTTTAGGTAAGTACAGTCGATAATTACTAAATAGCTCAACAGGCCACACTAACAGATAAGTCAGAATACGACATAGTGTACAAGGGCTTCATGTACACCTGTATTTGTTTACGGACATGTTTACATGAGTGCAGCTATAGATCTATGTATAGTGTTAGAAGAATAAGGGTTGATTACTAACAACAGGTGTATATAATATAAATGCTTGTTTGAATGTGTGTGTTTGTATGTATATGTACACCTGTATTAGTTCGATATATGGGATGTGTGCATGCATGGGTATAAATGTGTGGCTGGACTTGTGTTAATAGGTCAAATGTAAAAAGAGCAAGAGTACATGGTAATGACTAATAGGTAATAGGTAATGTGTTTTGTTAATAAAAAATATATCCTGGTATAATTCTGTTTTTGTAGGTGTGCGTTTGTATGCATGTGTACATGTGATGTACACATACTATGTACGCCTGTAATGTATCTGCGGATGTGTATGCATATGTACACATAGTTTACCTATCTGTAAATGTAAGAAGGTAATTACATGTATTTAAAATGATATAGGTGTAGTTGATCGCTTATACTAGTGTTTATTGCTATATATATATATATATAGCTAATAGGTATGTATATTTATACATATGTGTACGAGTGTAACTTCGTACTAACCTGTTTATGAATGAAATATTAATACAGTATAGATATATATATAAGGTCATATATCTTGTACATATTTGTAATATTTGGACACGGGACTGTAATATGTAATTGCAGACATGCCACATGTGTACAGTATATGTACAATATTTTAAGATTAAAAGTTCAATATTACCAGGACTATATACAAACATTATCATGTGTAGCCAGTGAGTAGATAGTTGTGTGTATTTTCTTCACATATGAATTAGTAGAGTAGATATATGTGTGATCTGTAAAAAGCAGGTTCACATGTGCATATGGATATGGTTGGTTCTATATGTATATAGGTAAAATGTAATAAGAGTGCATGTAAGTTGTAATTATTAAAATGTTTGTGTAAATAGATGTAAGAGGGTAGGTGTATGTACACATGTGTATATATATATGTAGCCTGATCTTTGTAAATCCTTTTACATATAAAATAATAAAAAGCGTATGTGTCAATTATCTTTCACCAGGTATATACTGGAGTAGCTGTCTAAAAGGTATTACACACATGTACAATATTGTCATGTACACGTAACAATGTTTATTATTATTCTTATAATAAAAATATTGGAGCTTAGTATGACGTACACAATTGTTGTCAGAGCACCACACATGTTTTATCCCATGAGTAGGAATATGTGTGTTTCCAATACGCTATTTTTTTCTCGCATCAAATTCATTTTATGTGTTTCTTGTGTCTCTGTCTCTTGTAGGTACTTCTTGTACCAATGTTGTTTTGTTTTTGTTCTTTATATGTGTAGGTGTTTATATTTTTGTAACCAACTTGAAAGGTAGGAGTCTTAGTGTTAGTAATATATTTTTTTTCCTTTTTGAGCCTTGGTTTGGGTGATATTAATGAGCGTAAGGACGTATTTTCATACCTGAGAACAAACAATTTTAATATCTACTGTATTCAAGATACACATTTGTCAGAACCCCCCCCCCCCCCCCCCACCACCCACCGCNAATAATAATTTTGATGTGAAAGTAACAAGAGAGAAAAAGCATTTTTCAGGAAATTTTCTTGCATTAGATTTAGAGGTAGAAGGTAAAAAGATAACACTGATTACATTATATAATCCGAATATTGATACCCCAGTTTTTTTATGATAAAATAGCAGAAACAATAAATGAATTTAATAATGAGTGTTTTCTCATATTTGGAGATTTTAATTTAGTACTTGATCCAAGAAAAGACTATGATGAAAACTACAGACAAATAAATAATCTTAAAGCTAGAGATAAACTTCAGGAAATTATTGAAGAATTTAACATGGTAGACATCTATAGTGAACAATCCTCAGAAACTAGAAGATATACTTGGAGAAAAAGCATTCCTCGTAAACAAGCACGTCAAGATTTTTCCTTATATCGGAAAATTTATTATCCACTTAAATCCACTATTGTGCCAGGATATAGATCAGATCATTCGATACCAACAATTTCTCTAAAATTTAATGATTTCAAAAAAGGAAAGTGCCTTTGGAAGTTCAATAACTCTTTACTTCAGGAATTTGAATATTTAGATGTTGTCAAAAAGTCTATAGAGGAAATTAAAGTGTAATATGCTATTCCAGTGTACCAAATTGATAGCATTAATCTCATTCCTAATACAGATATCAAATTTATAATTAATGAACAGCTGTTTTTAGAGACACTTTTGATAGATATAAGGGGCAAAACAATATCATACTCTTCATACAGGAAAAAACAACAAAACATTCTAGAAATAATCTTAAAGATGAAATAAAGAATATTGAAGATTCAGAAAGAATAGATTGGGAAATGTTAGAAAGGAAGAAAAGAGAACTAGAAAGTATTCGACTCCATAAACTAGAAGGAAGCATAATCAGGTCTAAAGCAAAATGGATAGAAGAAGGAGAAAAACCAACTAATTATTTTTTTAATTAATTAAACAGAAATTTTATATCCAAAATTATACCAAGAGTAGTAAAAGAAAATGGCACTTTAATTTCGGATCAAGTAGACATTCTGAACGAATTGTTTTTTTCAATGAAAAATTGTATAATAATGATGATACTATAGAGGAGGTTAACTTAGACAATCTATTTGAAAATATTGATATTCCATAGTTAAATGTTACAGAATCGGAAAACTTAGAAGGTCCTACTTCTATAACTGAGGCATCAGAAACTCTTTATAATATGAAAAATAATAATAGTCCCGCCTCAGATGCATTCACAGTCGAATTTTTTAAGTGCTTTTG